TTTCTTAATATAGGTAATTAATGTGTGTCTTCATTATTCTCTTAATAGTAATAATCATTTTATATCCATTACTTAGAAATTTTATCATAATAGTATACTAATATTTTATTTTACTTTATTTTAATATGTTAATTTGTATGGTTATTTTATCTCATACTTTGTGATATATTTATTTAATTCTACTTCATTCTTGATTTACCTTGCATAAATTCTTCCATCGGAAAGATACTTTAATGATTACTTTTCAGACTAACATATCATAACAATAAAACATTTTTTTATATCTCGAATAGTTTTCGAGATATAACGGAAAAAGTTGAAAACCACTATACGCGTAAGGGGTGATTTCACCCCTTCAAACTGTTTTTCCGTACCAACTGATATTTTCTAAATTCATCTCTTTATGTAAGCTACAAGTCCACAAAGTTTCATTAAAATCAGAATTTGAGAGGTTCCCTTGTAAGAGAAAATCGTTTCGTTGAAATTTCGTTTTGTAAACAAATGCAACGAACTGTTACAAATGAATTACCATCAGGCGTGCGAATAGTGAAAATCAAAGAGCACAGCATGTCCTACAGTATACAGATAGACAGTGATATCTCTGAACAAATGAACCAATTAACAGTAACCATTAATCAAGCTTCATTCAGGTTGTTTGTTCGCTACTCTCATAAATACATTTTTCAATAATAAAAACCTATGCAAATGCTCCAATAAAATCCCGTCAATTAAAAACACAGATTAAACATTGCATATATTAAAACTAGTTTTAATAAATATATATATATATATTTAAATTTCAAATAGAAATAAGAAAGATTTAAGATCATTAATGAAATCTAAACTCAAAAAAAGTGATCTTGCAGTTATAGCAAAAATTTAAATACACGGAGAGAATTTTCTTTTAAAATTTACCCTGAAAATATGATAGAGAGAGAAGAGAAAGAGAGAAAGAAAGAAGTTGTGGTACAATATAATATTTTAAAGATTTTTACCATGCATTTCAGTAAAATTGATCAAACTTATTTTATACTTCATTGTAGTTTTATTAATGAATGAGAGAGATTTACATTAAAATTCTTCGAAATACAATGTTGTCCCACGATTGTCATATTTTCAGGGTAAATTCTAAGAAAAAATTCTCTCCGTGTATTTAAATACGAAAAATAGCTGAAATAGATAAATTTTTAGCAAGTACTGCGATATTGGATATGTATTGCATCTAATCATATAGATGACAGAGATAGAATTTAGATTTGTGCTATAAATTCTATGTGTATGAAACACAATTTTCTATCAAATACAAAAAACAGCTATAATTCTAGCTGAAGCAGCAAAATATTTTTTTGCGTGTAGATTTTATTTTGCTCTCAGTTCTTTTATTTTGTATTTCAGATTTTTATTTTTATTCTGAAAGTTATTTTATTAAACACAGAGATGATTTACAATAAGTCTACAGTTTATAATGTTTATTTATTATTTTATGCTCTGTAATACAAAAAAACATTTTAAATGCACGTACATATACGTCAAATATGAATTAAAATATGCAAGTTTGCGTATACTAATATACTACACAAAATTATATAAACAGGAAGAATTTATTTTGAATATTGACGTGTATCATAGTTTAAAATAGATGCTTCTTGTTTTTCTTATTTTACATTTTATACTTTATCAATATTTTACTAATAAATAATAAAAAATATTGATTTTCATTATTTGAATTATCATTATCTGTCAGTTGATGTAGAGCTTTGTGGAAATTCCTCAATTAGCCAATTAGTTGAGAGTTTATTTAGCTGTAATTCGGATTGATATATATAACATTGGATGCGCTAAAATAATCGAAAATTATGACGAACAAGCGTAAACAAACAATTATATCCAACGTTGAATCGCACGATAAAACAATGATAACTACATTGCCGCTCATTCCGCCGTTTATCCCGAATGATTAAATTTGCCATGGATTTAAAGCCTCAAAACGTCACGAATAAACGGAACAAAACACGCACACTCGAATCCTCTTGATTTTATCTGGGATTTAAATTTGCGTCATTGAAATACTTGGCGCGAAAAAGGAGATCGATCAATCGAGCGCACAGTTTGCGCGCTTGCGCACGTGTATGTGCCCGCTTAAATGAATTTGGTTTGTGTTGCAACTATGCAAATTCTGCGCGCGATTCCCATATTATGCGCTTAACAAAGGCCGATTATAATTAGCTTTCGAACGATAAAGAAGAACAATGGGACGCGACGTACAATAGAGAACGATAGAACGTGCAGAAACTGTCAACGACGCCGACATTTTGCGAAATAACCGTGCGTTAATGCATATGCATTAATTGGCGTAGATATACGTATCCCGCAATTTATGTCCACTCGAGATCTGCAGCTTTTAATATGTAGAGCGTACTAAGGGTCTCATCTGCTATATTTAATATGTAGTGCATGAAACAAATTTAAATTATTCAAGGAATTCATTTCTGAAGTAGGATTCTCGTATGCTACATTTAATATGCAACCTATATGTAAGGCTTCTATTTTAAAAATGAATTCCTTGAATGATTTAAATTTTTTCGAGCTACTTCTTTTTTTTAAATATCGATTTGACTTTATGGAAAATATTCAGCGGAAATAATATTCATTTACCGTAGAGATTTATTTAGTTTAATAATTTATTTAACGCTATGGTTCATTTAACGTAATTTATTTAATGTAATAATTTATCTAATTTAATATATCTGTTTAATGAGCTGTTTAGCAATTTAGTTAGCATGATGATTTGTGTCAACGATGGTTTCGTTCCTTATACAAGCTATTTTGAATGTTACGACGTCAAAGGGATTTCATTCGCAATTACTATTGTAATTTGCCCTTCGTGTTTACCCATCATCAGTGCAATCGATTCATTCTATTGCACTATTTGATTCTCGTCATTCGAAATTCACTCGAGGACATTCGTGAGAATATCTACAAAGCTCCACTCTTCGATTTGAATGAAAAAAAACTAGGTCAATTTATATAGCTAAAAAAATAATTTTGGCATGTGCTCTTTTTACTTTCGATATTTTAAAATACGGAAATCTATTATTATTTATACTATCGATTAATTTCTTTTCCTTTTAATTTGAATATTTTATATTATTTTTGGTTCTATACATCTAATTTCAATTTATAGGTATATGCCATAATATTATATTTTATATGCCACGTATTCTATAATCTATAAAACTATTAAATTAAGTAATTCTTTCGTAACTTTCGATTTTTAATTTCATAGTAAATACTTCACAGTAACTTTAAAATTTTTAATTAAAATACGATCAATATTTTATATACATTATAATAAAGTTCTATTTTATATATAAAAATATTTATTTTATTCTTTTCTGTATATAAAATAGAATTCGTTCTCTATAGGTATCAGAAATAAAAAAAAACTACGTTTAAACCTAGAAAAAAAAACATTTCAATTTAAGAACTTTATTTCAGTGGAATAAAAATTGTGAATTTAATGTGAATTTCAAGATTGCATGTAGTTTTACTACGGATGTAATGCAGAAATAAACGACCGTGCAATTTATAGCGATAATCATGACCGTTATCACGAAATGCATATCCCGAAAAAAAAAATAGTGAGTCTCGCGAAGATAATAACGATAAATTCGGCGCGTCACAACAACAACAGCGATGCACCATGGCCGCGAAAGCTCTTTCGCGGTTGAAGGCTAAGGTTGCATGAGCCAATTTTTGCAAGTTCTCTTCTCGGTTGACCGCGCTGGCAAACAAACCAACCAATGACGATCTATTGAACTTGACACGCGATGGATATGAGCACGGAATGCATCTCTCTCTCTCTCTCTCTCTCTCTCTCTCTCGCATTTTCTTTTTCTTGATTTCTTGCTTCGCGGTAGAAATATCCTTCGATCATTTGTCTTACATTTCACACGTTTATTTGTCGATAAACAATAGAAAAGAAGAATTTTCCTCGCGTTCATGTGAAAATAGGAGCGAAGTTTTTACAATGCGGAATAATTTTTAATGAGAATATTTCTTTTTGTGATTTTTATACTAAAAACTAAAAATATTTAAGAATACTTATTAATTACGAATTATCAATACGAATAATTATGGCGTGAAATTTAAGATAATGTTATTTTAAGAAAGAGTTATTTCCCTTATTATATACAAAGTTTAAAATGGGATTTTAATCTGAAACCAGGATAGCTATCACATATACATGTAATTTTTTTCCTAGGACAGAAACGTAAAAAACTGAAAATTTTTATCATTGGGTTAATGGAAAAATTTTTTACTCTTCACATTTCTGTAAGAAAAAGTTACACGAACGAAGTATTTTAATTATTTAGTAATAAAAAAATATAAATATTTTCGAATAATATTATTTAACAGTATATTTATCGAATCTGTTTCTTAAAAAAAATAAAATTTTTGCTCCTCTATTCTCTTTCTTTCCCACCTCCTTCATTCTTTTTTTGTTTTGTATAAACAATAAAATAAAAGCGGTTAAGCAAATTCGTTTCCTTTTTATTCGTGGAAAGTGGACAAAGACTACGGAATGAGAATTCGATATTGCGTTTCGTTGCTGTATTGTCGCTGATGGGGCTCCACAGTATTCGTTATTCACTTCTGCGGAAAAATCTATTATCCAATACAGGTACCATGAGAAAAAGAAGAATGTTGTTTAGAATTAATTAGAAGGTATTAAGAGATAAAATCAAATTATATCTCTAATCTTTAGTCAAGAAGTTTCAGAACTTCTAGAGTAAAAATTTATAAAAATGTATATCTTTATATATTTTTAGAGTATACATTTCAAATTTCACATTTAATCTTCAAACTTTATTATTATTTATTATATTATGGACTATCATTATCTTTATTTTACTTACTAAAAAATGATTATTTCTTATAAAGGTCTTTATATTATATTTGTATTATATTATAAATATTCATTATTTTAGTATTATTTACTGCTGTGAGATATTGTTAGCCTTTAGCTAAATTTCCATCTGAAAAGAAAAGAAACTTTTGTTAAAATTATTCTATTGTACAAAAAAAAGTTGATTTCTATTGATTCTTTTATTTCTACTTGTCTTTTCTTTTTTTTTAATGCCACTTTTGCATTGTTCTACACTCTCGTTTGTCGATAACTACTCTCATACGGAGGGAACTCTGTACTCTGACATCTGTCCCGTGCCAAGTTTCTGACTAGTTACTGGAAAATTGGAAACATCGTACTGATCGTATTTCATGTCGTTTGTCACGTTGAACGGCATGGAAAGCAGTGCCTGTTCTCCCTACGAAAAAATTATTAGGATCCACCGGTTTAAATATGATTTAATATAAAATAAAATAGCAAATTAAAAAAAACAGAAACACACACACACACACAATAGCTGCGTTCGGCAATGTAAATCTGAGATGCGAGCTAGCAGATGGTGAGCTTGATCACGTGATCTTCGAGCAAACCGAGTGCCAAAAATTAATTCCGGACGCATCCGAAGGATACAGAGCTGTCATTTAACGTCATTTAAGGTTATAGCAAATGTTTAGAAGATCCCGGCCGCCTCAAATTTGATAAAAATGCACTCAATCGGTGCGTTTTCGTGTAAAAATAAAGATTTGACAAGAAAAAAAATGTCGCTCTGCCCTGGGAATTGAGATATTAATCATTAAAGTCGACAACTATTCAGGTTAGGAAATCTGTCACAGCAGTGGTTCACTGTTTTAAATACACAAATTTACTGTTTTAGCAGAGTATTTATTTTTAATACAGAGAATTTGTAGCGTTACTTATGAGTAACCTATTTCAACTGCGTGGAAGAGATTCGGGTGAAACTTGGCGAACGCGTGCGCCGATCAGGGGGTCGATTGTGTAACTCGAAACGAGGTGAAAATTACAAAAGTCGATTGTGTAACTCGAAACGACGTGAAAATTACAAAAGTGAGCAAATTCACTAGAATATTCATCATTTAATTGGTCAATAACTAGTGAATTTGCTCACTTTTGTAATTTTCACCTCATTTTAAGATACACAATCGACTCCCAGAACCTCTGAAAAGGTTATGAATTCAATTTAGGCGCGAAAACTTGCATTAGCTCCACGAGCTCGATCTTTGAATCCAGAGTGGATTGAGGAGCTCGATTAGCTCTAGAAATGTTAATACCGAACGTAGATGAGATGACATGTAGCAGAAAGATACGAATTGCCGAACGATTTGCGAGGTGAAAGAGCAAACGGATGCCTCCGATTTGCAATGCCAAACGTACCTATTTGAAGCATATACAAATATTCTCGCAAACGTTTAATGTTGAATCAAGAATTAGTATTCTATATTATAAGTGAATGTTTTGTTAATAAATTGTTTGCATTTTTTTACTTTCATTGGTTATTTACTTAATTTTGAATATATTACATAAATACATATTTTACATTTCATTTATGTTTATAATATTTGTACATAATTATAATTGCATAGCCTAAGATTTGTTTTGATTTTTGACAATATTTTAATTACGAATTTCGCGAATCGCTCACAATCGTAATTACAGATATTGTCCGAGAAATAATTCATCCGGCTGCCTAGATATTATTAATAGATCACATCAATCAACTTTCAATGGGACAACCTGTATTTAGATTGCATCCGGTCAAATCCATACAATATCATTTTCGCCAATACTAATTAATTTCTCAATAGTGACATTGTCATGAGCCATAACATAATCGAAAGAGTCGCTGCTTCTTTTCTTCTCGTAAAAAGAAAAGAAAAGAGAAGGAAGACAAACGAAGGAGTGAAGAAGAGAAAGAATGAGGGAGAATATTTTAGAAATATTTTTAAATACGTTTAAGAAAACTTCATTAAAAAACAATGAAGTATTAAACAAAGTCAATGATCCAGCCAAAGATGGTTGACAAATTACAATACTTATTTAATGAAACATACAATTTAAAATCTATGTAAAAATATAAAAATATAAAAGATCATAAAATATAAAATCAAATATATAAAAGTAATAAAACGTTTCGGGACCACCGGTCCTTCTTCAGTTATACGTTAGATGATAAAATGTTCGGTGAGACATTTTCGGTGAGACATTTTCGGTGAGACATTTTCGGATGTATTATATATTACAAGAGATGAGTGGATGATATTCGCAATGAAGAGACTTTACGTATTAATTGTTGAAACGCTGATGTCATCGCAAAGGAGGTGTAAGAAATTGCAATGATAATATTATACGAAGAAGATTGTAACGTCTCAGCATCACGGTAAAAAAGTCATCAATCATCGTTGTTCAGCGGGAATCAATAACCAAGAATACTTATAATATTACAAGAGATGCGTGAATGATATTCGCAATGAACACATTCGAATCTGAGCATTGGTTGCGTTCGACATAATTTTATACGATGTTCCCGCTTTCACATTAATACTCTCGCAAGTTCTGGTATTCTTGGTTATTGATTCTCGCTGAACAACGATGAATGATGACTTTTTTGCCATGACATAGCATGATGCTGGAACGTTATAATTTTCTTTGTATTATCATTGCAATTTCTTATTACACCTCTTTTGAGATGATCAGCGTTTCAATAATTAATACGTAAGGTCTCTTCATTGCGAATATCATCCACGCATCTCCTGTAACATAATACATCCGAAAATGTCTCACCAAATTTAATGAACATTTTATCATCTCTAACGTAAGAAAGACCGGTGGTCCCGAAACGTGTTATTAATTTTATATATTTGATTTTATATTTTATAATCCTTTTATATTTTTATATTTTTACACAGATTTTAAATTGTATGTTCGATTAAATAAGTGTTGTAATTTGTCAACCATCTTTGGCTCGATCATTGACCTTGTTTAATATTTTATTGTTTTTATATTAACACGAGCATCTTTATACATTTATAAAAAAACATTTTTAATTTCTATCTAGGCATTTCTTTCTAAATTAGGAAAAAGAGCAGAGAATGATCGCGGTCTCGGTCATGATTGTTGGAGCTCATTGCACGCGTCGTTTATACATGGTGGACCTTGCCACCGCTTTTACCGCCATTGCATCGCCTCCTCTAAAGATTCTATCTAAACTACCGCTTTTTACAAGCATGCAACCATTTGCTCGGCACTGATGCACGAGCGCCCTTAACCTCGCACGGCTTGCATCGGTCTCCGGGCTTCGATCGGGGATAGCAGTCTGGGGGGTGCCGGTGGTGCTCAGTTGCACCCAGGCAGACCGAATTTTCTCTCGAGTTTGTGCAGATAATCTCAAATTGCTATACATCACAAATTCCGATACATCTCTTTATTATTATTCTTTGTTACTATGAAGAAATTATCACGTTTATCTCGAATTGTATAATACGTGTAATATGTGTGTGTGGAAATGTAAATCGGGAAATATTATGAATATTATGAATAATAATCTTAAAAATGATGGATAATAAGCTTGAATCATATGATATAGGCAAATAAATATAACAAGAGCTATATGTACGTATTGGATATTTACTATGGAAATCTGCGCTTTGCAAACAATAGAATGTTGCTTGCTCGCACCTTGCGCCTGCACGAATTTCGACATCAAAGGAAACCGCTAAATCAGCTGCATTTGTTCCCAATACGTTCTACTCGATACATATATGTATACATCTTTTGAAAGTTTGAAGTGAAGGAAGTTTTGTGAAGACACCTAATCAGACTTCCATTCACTATGCAGTAAAGTGATTCGAGGCAAAACTTATCGCTACGTGGAGTCTATCTTCTCCAAAAGGCACACTCACAGAGAAACGTGATATGTTTATACACACATACGTATAATATATATATTTGATATATATATACACCACATGCAAAGTATGTAAAGGACTATATGTACTCATATTTCCTACAGAACTGAAATTATATTTGTCTTTGCTTTACGGAGAGTTTTGTTGGCGACTAAATTGTTAAAAAAGCTCTATTTAATTTTGAAAATTAATCTTAAAAAAGTCACGCGAAGTAGAATTAAATTTCATTATTGCCTCCTTTCTGCGATTCTAACTGATTCTTTCATTGCATGCACTTCGTGCCATAAATAGCCGTTTTCGCAAAAATTATTTAATCTTCTTTAAGTTAATATTCTATAAAGTGTAATATTACACTACAAAAAAATATTATTTACTAAACAGTATAATAACGTATTATATTTCGTACGGATTTCTTCGTTATTTATCTACAATCAGTGGTATCGATTTCGTTCGACCGGACACTTTACGAACGTAAATATTGAGAAAGTATACCATCAAACAGTACATGAAAGTGTTCCCAAGCAAGTACGATGTATTGCTACGACTGCAATTGTTGGTTATAGGTAATACAAAGGCGCTATTGTAAATCAAATTCCTTATCAAAAAGCGAAATTGGACGTGTATTAATCTGCTTCACAAACACTGCAGTGCCTGCAAGCTCCGTTTGCGTTCCGTACAGTTGACACAATCACCGTTTATTTGGACATAGAAGAGATTTGTTCGATGGTTTATTTTACGTCCTCTTTACAGCTATTTCAAACAGTCTTCCATTGAAGATTATTAAATAATCCTTTTTTTTGTAAAATTTGTTATTTAGAAGAAATTTCTCGTTTTAGTGAGAAATGTATTTTATATTTGCTAAAAATAAGAAATACTCGTAAATAATATCGGTTATCTCTTTGAAAAATTAATTAAAGAAGTTAAAAAAGTAAGAAATTATAAAATAATAATTACTGAATATTTACTGATATTTAGAATAAAGCAAAGAATGAAACACTTTTGCTTTTCCCGACATGTTTGTTCGTGCAGGTGAAACACTAAATTTAACTATTCCGAACGGCAAGCAACTGCCTAGTACCGTGTGCGGGAAATAATATTTATCTAATTAAGTCTCGCATGGCAAGGGTCAAGTCGCGTGCCGGCGACAGAATTAAAGTGCAATTTCTGCTTCGTGGCAAAATTAAGTTTTCTCTCACCTTCTCTTTTGCGCGTCTGCTTAGCATAACCATGCGTATTTACATTTATTACGCGGCTTCTCTAATTTATTCCCGTCGCAACGTCCTGGCCCATTCTTTTCGTGAGGTTCACCTCGTTTTAAGTCCTAAATTACCAACACAAAACTTCCAACACGAAAAACGCAACGTGAGGTTATATATCTTGACATGTTCTACAAAAAAATAAAAAATTTTAAGACTAAAAAAATCGCACGAAGTTGAATGAAATAATAGGAAAGAAGCCATTGTATTTTTATAAGTGAAATAACGAAAATAGAAAAAATAATGGAATTGAAGATTATTTGACAATGAAACTATACATATAAGATAAATAATAATATGTAATGTTTAATTTACGTGTTTTAAATATAAAATAATTAATAACAATAAAAGAAAAATAACAAAGCTCATTCTTTTATAAAGCCAACTTCTTTTATTTATACAGTTTAAACTTTTATTATAAAGTACGATAGAAACAAAAAAAACTTTTTGCTTCTAGAATTTCTTATCAAGACACGAATGCAGAATCGTGAAATTAAATTTAATGCATTTGATTCATCAAACTTCG